AAAAAGGACAGTCCGAACTGTGGATTTTATTTATATCCATTATATGACAGTATGTGACCACTAGTGACCTGCGGCTAGTCATGCTGAACGGAAGTACTCATTTCTCACATGTTCTGGACACTTGCCCTCTATATGTGTTCCTGGCTCGTCACTCCAACACAAAGTAAGACAATCCATCAACCCATTTTCTGGAGCTTCTAAATCTTTCCACGTTGTTTTCATTGTTTATGAACTTGAACAAATGCATCTGTCAACATATTCAAACCTGAAGTGATGGGAAAGATTTTGATTTAGCCTGATACTCTCTTCCTTTCAATTTATATTTAAAATCTTACACATACATACAGTTTAAAATTTAGCTGCAATTGATAGTATTGAAGTAAAGTCTGCATAACATTATTGCATTTAGGGACATTAAATTACCTGTAGGTAATTTAACAGTGGAAAGCATTGGAATTCAAACCTGACGACCTCCTGCAAACCTACAACTGACAAGAACTAATCTCCCATCTAATCTGCATGCCATGTGTCCTGAATACTGTGCCTTCATCTCCACAGGACATAGACTAGCACCACGAGCCTCAAATCAGCTGGAATAAACCCTATGTGTGACACAAAGGAGAAGCAGTTTGACAGGGCTCTGTGGAGAGGAGGAGAGAAGGAAGAGGGCTATGGGTCGGCTGCAGCCTGGAGGGAGGGCAAGGATGGGCCTGGATGGAAAATAGTCTATTGGGGGCTTGAGGACATCCAGGTGGAGGATGTCAATGGACAGGGAAGCTGATGGAGTCCCAGGACCGGGTCCCACAACCCGAGGAGGTGGCAGACACCATCACACAGTGGCCCCCCAGCTTTTCTCAGAGCTGCCTGTGGCCTGAGTGTCCTTGGAGATCAGCACACAGCACAGGCTGTGTCTTCCTTGGCTCACAGGAGGGATGGAGACCCTCATGGCTGAGATCGTGATGCGCTTAAATCAGTTAATATTCTTCAGAAGGAAAAGATCTACTTAACAGTTCTGTAAATGGTTCAGGTCCAAGCACTTTGGTTAGACCCATCATCCACCATTAGTCCTAAGTAGGTGCTCCTCCCCGAGTGAGGAGCCAGAGAGCAGCTCTTCCTGCAATTCCAACCTTGCGCCTTGCTTCAGATGGAGCCCCCAACTCGGGCCCACCCCCCGGCATCCTAGAAAGCCTGGGAGAGGGCTTCTAGGTGAGTGTGCGTGCGTGTGTGTGTGTGTGTGTGTGTGTGTGTGTGTACATGGGGGGAAGGCATAAGTATGTCAGCAACTTTGCCCTTGTGTGTGTTTGTGAATGTGTGAGTGTGTGTGATATAGGTACATGCACATGTGTGCTTGTATCTGAGCTTGTATGAGTTATGTAAATGCAGATGAGAATTACACATGAGTGTGCAAGGAACTTTTTTTTTGAAATGCATTTGGTTCTTACTGGGTCTCAATATACAGTTCAGACTCATAATGATCCTCCTGTTTTCAGCCTCCCCAGTGCTACAATTATAAGCATACCTCACTATACCCAGACTCTGTGACTGGCTCAGCCCAGCTTGGGGACAGCACTGGTGTGGCATGTGGAGCTGGTGATCAAACCATGGTTCCTGCACTTGCTTAAGCAGGTGCTTAGTCTACTGAGCTATCCCCCCAGCCCAGGAGCTTTATACATGGAGCATATCATTGTGCATAGGTGCAAGAGAGACCTGCGCAATTCCTACATTGGTAAACATGTGTAAAGAGCATGTGCAAATCCTTGTGCAAGTGTGGATGTGAGCACACGCATGTTTGTATACACAGTCATGTATAGGTCTGACCCTGCTTAAAGTCAATTATGTTTAAAAAAGAGAGAGAGACAAAGAGAAGAGGCTGAATTGTTTAAGTTACTGGAAGATTTTAAAATATGTTTATAATGTTACTGCTTGTTTTTAATTGTAATTTATTAAATCATTAAATATGTTTATTATGCATGGATGAAATATTAACCATTGTAAGTACTAACTTGTACCCTGGTGGGCTACAGGACACGGCAGGAAAACATCTCAGGGGCTTCTTGGCTGTGTGGCTGAGCTCAGCCTTGTCATCCTAACCAGCTTAAACTCTCTGGGCATTTATTTCCATATTTCTAGGGAAAGAAAACACTATTAAGAACATGTTTTAAGAATTTTGTAGGGATTGACTTAAACACCCACTCATGTTCTGTGCTATGCATAGGCCTGGTCCACAGATTTTTCTTGAATCAGTAATGGCCGTGACATTCCATTGAACTCAATAATTAAATTTAGCAGCCTTGATTATAAAGCGTGGCCAGTGAGATTACTTCACTACAGTTGCCTGTACCTACCCACAGTTTTAAATTATTATTAACTTATTATTTTAAAAGTTGTTTGTCCTCTACAATTAACACCCAAACTGCCTCAGTGTGCCCTGTACCGATGTTTCTACTTAGTCCACAAGCATCTTTATACCATGACGGTTAGTACAAACGAGCATTTGTGGAGGTATTGTTCCTTCTCTGTTCCTGCAGAAATGATAGTAACAGGTTATGAAAGGCACATATTAGAATAGGTACCAGCTAAGCTCCCTGGTCTCTAACACTATTCAACCACTAAGGCAGAAAAAGTACCTAGGTGTATGATTTACTGGCAGCTGATGATTAATTCTATTATTTGAATAACTTAATCTATTGAGTTTAATGTCCTGTTCTTTCCTTTTTTTTTTCAAAATTTTATTGATAAACAGGTAGCAATGAGACAGTTTCAAATCAAATCGGAAGTACAGTTTCAACAAATAACACACTACATATATTCTTCTTAGTGGTTAATTGCTGTACAAGATGCGGACTTGAGATCCTATTTACAAACACCATTAGAACAAATCATTCTATTCATTAAGAGAATGCAACTATATATCTATCCTAAACACTTTGAATACACAGATACAAAATGGACATTCATCTATATACCCCATTTTTTCTAAGTTCCGTTATTGAATATTATAGGTGTGTAAACTCAGCAAAATATTCTAAAAGAGTCCAGTAGCCCATAATAGCATTGGGTCTTCTGTTTAACTGGCAATGTCAGAAATTATTGACCTGAGTCCCCCACAGCTCAACATAACAGCATGGCTTTACTTCTTATATTTCATCTTCATACTTTTCTACTGGATGGTTAAGACCAACGTAAAGCAGGACCTGTGCAACAAGAGTTGTAGCGTTTTGGTCTGAGAAGGTCAGTGAGATCCCCTCAGGATTTATCCTGATATCCTGTACCTCAGATTGTAGAACCTTTGTCAGTGTCAGCCATGTGGATGAGTCACGGCCATTGCTTGGCCAATGTGCTCTCTGTGGAAGCCTGAGAGAGGGTTTTCTCCCCATGTGACTCTCCTTAGGCACACTCTACATCATTGATCACTTCCTCTTTGGCCCCATAATCTTCTTGATCAGAAAATTTGGGACACTACCGAGGTACATGTCATGTTCTTTTCTTATTTTAAAGAGAATAAAAATAATTTAAAAAATAGAAACAATACAAAATTTCAAGAAACAAGATGATAGAAATTCAATGATAGTTGTTCTGTTGCATATGGCTGTAAGTACACAAAATTAGTCAAAAATTATAGGAAGGATGACCTGTCCTGATACATTTATCCCCATGTAAAATTATGGCAGCATCAACATTATATTTTGTGAATTGGTAGCACATATACATTTGATTAACACAGTCCTATCACACGTTATCTTAGTTACTTTCTCACTGCTGAGATAAAATACCCGACATTCACAAGCTGAAGGAAGAAATTTCTGTGGTAGCTCGCAGTGTGTAGGCATTTCAAGCAATAATCAGCCGACTCCAAAACCGAGCAGTACGGCAGAAGGGCAGCATAGGGGAGAAACGGTCCATGGCACATGGGCAGCAAGGTGGCAAGCAAGAAGGCTGCCTTCCACTATTTCATTTCTGTTTCATCCCAGCTACAAGTCTATTGGTTAGTGCCATCTACCCATGCCCACGGTAGGACTTGCCACTAACCAAACCCAATTGAGTGCTAAACCCTTCAGTGGACAAATCTCATTATCACACCCTTAACCCACATTTATGCCCCTAGTTCTAGCTACCTCTGAAGAGCCCCACCTATGAGCACCTGAGACTTTGGGATGGGCACATCTAGACACAAGCCATACCCCTTGTCTTTATCTAAATTTTATCA